TGAGGGGAAAGTCCTTTGCTAGCATCACTGCAGAATTTGGTACAAATCCCTATTGTTAAACACCGTTTCTTTTACCATGTCAAAAATTTACTATTTCTGCAACCACAGCAACATTTTGCCATAGGTAAAAATGTCAATTTGCTTGAATTTAGCTACGAGCAAAAATCTCATCCTTTTCTTTGCCTGACATTTACCTCAGAAAGATGTCAGTTTGCCACCTGAAACTAACTCTTTTTTACTTTCACAAAACTAACAGACAATTGTGGCAGAAATGTGAAATAAAGAATATTTTCATGAAAACTCTTGTGACACAAGTAGTCCATTTTTTTCCTTTGTCACATATTTTATCTTTTAAATCAGTTGCTTAAAAAAAAAAGTAGAATAAAGCATATACTTCAAAACCTAAAGGCTAGTCATTACTTTAAACGTCATCTCAAGTTACAAAATAATTGACTAAGTATTGGCACTTATGCTAATACATTAAGTATATATCAGATCATTTTAATGAATTAAAAAAAACTCTACTGAACCTGCTTTTATATAGCATTCTGCTAAGAAAATAGCAATGTAATTGCCAATTTTTGGACACACAAAGTAAAAGACTTTCCCCTCTATAAGCAGGCTGCTATGCCATGAAGTCAATGCATCTACTCACATACCACATTTAGACTGAAATTTTCCATCTTTTAGATACCTAGAAACACAGATTTGATGAACACAGTACTTTTGCACTCATTATTTCCAGTAGTACTAGCTAGAGTATTTTCAGTGGGAATCCAATGCTGCACAAACCAGTTAGACATGAACTTTGCTTGCACTCTCTTCAGAGACGTAACTGACCTAACGTATTTACCCTCTGTTCATTTCAGCCACCTTTTTTCCTCCACAATATTTCCACCTATTTATAAGAAACCTGCATCTATACATTGCAGACATCAGATGTGGATGTTCCAGGAACATATGTATCTTCCTCTACCACAGATAAGAAAAATTGACAGCTAAAAAATATCTGAGGATTGAGTCCTTTTATACTGATTTGTTGTCTCTAATGGGAAAACAACAGAAAAAAATGATCCTGACTACTTCTGCAACAAATATATTGTATAAATTACATATTGCTGGCAAATGGACATGCAATCAGTATTTTTAGGGCAAAATGTAATGTTTCCCACATGCTCATATTTAACATACTTTGTTTTTCATCTATCTACCTAGACTGACTGTTCAAGCTGTGGCATAACAATTACAGTAAGTGATAGCATTACATCCAGAAAACAAAGAGTGTGATGGTACAATTTATCTTGTACATTTCTTGATTTAATGCCAGTCTGTGATTCTAGTCTGAACCAGATATTTCTTATGCCATAAATATTTCATTTTTTTCATTTATTCTTGATTTAGCTTGACAGTAAATAATCCCATGGAAACTGCTGTTGGAAAGACATTGTAAGAATTATTAAGTGCATGGTTGCCAGTTAGGTCCTTGTGTTTGTCATAGTAAAGTAAGTAAAACAGTTGGTTAGTTAAAGGAAATATATACACATACATGCATATATATATATGTTTATAGTTACAATATTGTTCCATAATTTGCAACTTTAAAAGCAAAATTACAGTTCTGAAGATTAATCAATATCATATATGAATAAGAAAATTTTTGGAAATATATTCTTGATTCTCACAGCAACAAGTACTTGGTTTCAGAAGACTCAAAGAGAGGAGAAGAGCAAACCAGGAGCTTTTCAGAAGGATCTGTCCTTGTAAGAAAGGGCAAATATCTTGGAAGAGGATAGATTTGGTTGGTTAACTAGGTTCACTGGTGATTTTTTTGTTGCTCAGAATGTGCACTCTCAGAAGGCACATGCTATCTGGAAACAAATAATCTGTCTTTTGAGCCATAACTGCCTTTGACAACTGTTGCACCTTTACGAAGGGTTGTGGTTGACCTGCACATGCAATAAGTCAAATGCTAAATGCATGGCAACCAGAAACAGGAAGTTTTTGAGAGCACTGAGGAAAGCTAGACCAGAACAGGCAGCACCCTGATGTCTGGCAAATGCTTTTTCACCAATAACATCTTTGCTCCCAGCTGTTTCTTTATCTGTTCTTTTACATCTGCAAATCCAGTCTCATTTTAGGAAAAGTGGCCTACATGCCCACATCAGCAAAAATACTAAGGGAAAGGTCCTGCAGATGAGGTACACACAAGCAGAAACTCCAAGGAAGCACAGAGAGAAGCCCATAGGACTGTGATGAACTGCCTGTGGTTGCAAATGTGAGCGTCTCCAGTGGTGAGGTGAGGCAGTCCTGCTGCAGTGGGTGAGGAAGGTGACAAACACGACTGCAGAACAGGATGAGCCACAGAACGAATATTTGCTGTTAGCTGCCAACTAACAGAAAGCAGTCTCACCCAAGAATTTCTTTTATCAGCAGAGGGGAAGTAAGATGCTTTGTGCATCTTCATCCATGGTATTCCTGGCCACTACAGCAAGAAATAAATAGAGGTAGCAGTTGTTTGTGGATTATGGTGATACTTTTTTCCTATGAGCAAGGACACTAAGGGCAGTGTCATGTATCTAAGCAGAAATAAATTGGTTGCTCACCTTTGGGAATGAACTCAAATAGAAGTTTTGAGTTTTGTAAGGTTGTTCGGTGTAACAAGCAGAAGAGGACTAGAGCAGAAGCAAGGTCCATTTAACAAAAGGAGAAGCTAGAGTCACAGCTGTGTCACTCAGCATGAAGGGAAAGGCTTCAAACTACAGCCATCAAGGCTTTGACGTAAGGTAAAAGGTGCACTGGACTCGGAAAAAAATGAGAACTGGGAGAGAGGATAAGGTAAGGACATAAGGACAGGTCAAAGTCACAGGAGTAACAAAATGGCAAAAGTGGCCCAGATGATGAAAATGTTATCTATCTAAAAATAAATATAAGACATAGGCAGATTTAACATGACATCTTAGTAAATAATTAAAATTCTAACTTAACTGGGAAACAGAAACAAGTAATAGAACTGACATGACTGCACTATTGATCTGGAAGGGCACATCTTGCTCAGGAAGGACAAGGCAAAAAAAAAAAAAAGTTTTTGTAGTTTTTTTGTCCCAAGTATCAGAGACATATACATTAGCTTGAAAATATTTAATTACAAACAGGAGAAAATAGTATGATATAAATATGATGCAATTCAATAAGGACCAGTACGAAGTTTCACTCGTAAGTAGAGATAATCAGTGTATATCTTCAGTATGAGCAGAGACTTTAAGGAAGATGTTACAAGGAATCATGAGTTGAATGCAATATAGAAGAAACAATCCTTTACAAATTTACCAATGTTTAAAAAGGAAATGGCTACTCCACATTGGGAAGGCCTTGGCACGAATATTATGTTTAGATATGGTCAGTATACTTCATTAATGCCAGGTATTTTGAAAGAATCCAAAAGAGACAAGAACAAGATGTTAAAAATTAACTTATGAGGAAAAAAAAAAAAGTTATGGTGATATTCTTCAAATATGGAAAAGTTACAGAAAGAAATATCCTCTGAGATTAGCCCAATAAACACATTTATATTCAATTTTAAACTGACAGCACTGTTCGAGTTTCCTGGTGAAGTTAAGGAAACTTCATTACAATAAGTCTTTAGCATAGACAAATATCTGTGAGCCTATTTCAGGTGCAGTTAAGCTTGTCTGAGGGCAGGACTGTCTAATGCACAAAGGTGCTATCCAGCTCCATCCTCTTTGGTTCTATTTCAAGAGAATTATCCAAATATGTTCTATAGCACTCAAGCCATTTATAGTTTTCAATGACACTAAAGTTCTTCCACAGGCCCCAGATGAGAGTAAAGCAGGCCCTTAGAATGATTGAAAGGAAATCTGCTTCTTCCTTCTGAACATTTGATCGTTGCCCAGCTCAACTGGCAAAGGGGCACTGGCTTGATATGTATCTATCTCCCCTGAGACCACCAGGCCACAATTTTCGGCCAAATTCATAAAAATCGATGAACACAGTTGGATCCCTTACAAAAGTGGAATGACTTCCAAAACAACTGAAGTTCTTCACTGTGTGAAAACCTTCTCTCATTTATATCAGTAGTAAGTTTAAGGACTATGTAGTATTTTTTCACACTGGTATAAAAAATAAGGCAAATGAGAAGACTATATAGATCCACAAATGTGGATAAGAAGCATAATTTCTCAGTGTAAAAAAATCAGCATTTAGAAGGTTGGGAATGATTTTATGATTCTGTCAACCCATTTTATTAAGTGATTTCTGTTTCCTGCTCTTTTATGAACTTATTTCCAAAAATAAATCATTAGTTTGATAAGTAGTAAAGGCCAAACAGGTTTTTTTTGTGTGTGTGATTTTTAATTCATCATATGGTTGTTGAAATGTCAAAAGAAATTAGAACAAATTGTTATGCAAATCCTTACAGATGCATGTTTCAGTTCTTATGAATAAACTTTAATTTAAAAAACAAAGTTTTTTTTTTTTATATAGTCTGTGTAAGGCATTATATTACCAACTCTGGATTGTGAATGTTCTGACTATGGATCAATGAGGATTTCTGTTAATCATTGTTCACCACAAGATCCCTTTTGGGTCAGAAGCCAAATCTGTGTAAGAAAAGAAACACCCCAAAGAGTGACTAACATTTAGAGGGCAAGAGGCTGCATTTTTGCCCATCCCCTTTCTCCTAATTCAATAGCGTTTGCTGAATGGTTCACAGATTTTCTCTTCGAGAAACTCATTCCTGAGGAGCAATCTCCATGAGACTGAGGATGAATGGATCTCAAATATTGCATATTCCTTACATTGACATTTCCAGCTTTCTGTAATTTTGTAATCATGTCGAAATGACCCTATTTGAACCATTTATTGCATCTGTAGCATCTTAACTCATCAACGGTGCAGTAAAATATGACTCTACATAGGGAAAATTGGGATATTTGGTTTGACTTTATAGTTTAATTACCCAATATCTCTTACTGTTTTTACAGAATATCAAGGTAGTCACAGGAAGACACACTTTACTTTCCACTGATTGGATGGGAGGAATTTTTGACCTTGGAAAGTGGAGATGGTGTTGCTATGGAAACATAATTCTGCTGCCATTCATAAGCTGCAGCACAGGTAAAATGTTCCACTATTAGTGCTTGTGATTGATAAATCTGTATCAATATCATAATTCTTTTAGAAAGGAGATGCAATTACCAAAACTAACAATACTTACTCGCTTGAGCAAGTGACTAAGGAGCTTTTCATTGGGACATCCTTTAATTTTCAGCAATACAAGCTGCTGCTTTTGAATCAGAAAAAACATGTTTCAAGATCACAAGAAAGCTGTACCCTAGGAAACAGCTTCAAGAGATATTCTAAACTACAGGATTCACCCTACAACTCAAACTGAAATTTGAGTTGTATCCTTGAGTATCCTTTAATCTTCGCAGCATTGCCAATCCACGAGGTCAACATCAAATAACTTGCAATCTCATTTGTGATCTTTAAGGTCTATTACCTGATCAACTTGCAAAACCCTTTAAACTTTTTTGTTTAGCCTATACAGAAGGTTCTAGTCCCAATAAAATTACTGCAGTATCTGCAATGGGTTTTTGAAGATAGAACTTTTAGCTCTATGACTTGTAGTCAGAAACTATAGGATTCAGACACCTCCCATGAGGCTGCTGCAGGTCAGGGAACTTAGTTAACAACATGCACAAGACTGACTTTTCTTAGTCACAGCATTAGCAATTCTCAAGTAATCTAGTGAAGCAAGGTAAAAAAAGAACCCCTTAGTACAGTGTATAGGAGGGTGGCTGCAAGGATGGATTTGTTTGTACACTTTAAGAATTACCACAGCCTCAGCATGCATCTGTATTATTAAAATATATTTAAATCACATCTAACTTAAGGACAAAAAAACACATTAATTTATAAAGTTCAAATTAGACAGGAATGAGTTATCAAGACATAGGTGTCAATAATGAAAGGAAATCTTGCTTAATGATCGAATCAAATAGAAACCTTTCATCCTTCTTTATACCCAGTTGGCCTCGTGACAGACCCTTATGCACCCCAGGCTGTCACTGATTGAGGTCCTGGGCATGCTTTCTGTCCTCAGATATGAACCAGGAAAGATGGTTCTGGATGGGGATAACTGCTTTATCCCCATCTCTTTCTTCAATATTCCTGGTGCTTAATTAAACCATCAATGGGTTCTTAGCAGTGTAAGGTAAAAAGTGCACTTGTCTCTGGCTGGGCATCGTATGTGCTTCAGAGTTTGGTACTCAAGGGTTTTATTCTGTGAGACTTTCTTCTAATTCAAAACATGTATTTTGACAATCCTACTTTATAAAATCATATAAATGAGACTAATATATGTGACTCATTACAGGCTCATCTAAGACCAGGCTCTGCAAAAGAGTAATTGTAGTCTCTGAGGTTACAATGGATTTGGGATGAAATGAACCTTCATACTGTCTATGATGGAAACCATGACAACTGACTTTTGTCTATAATTAATGTATTGAACTCTAAATAGCTGTTATGTTATTCACGTACTTACAAAGAAAATGGATTAAAGTAACCTCAAATGATACTTATGTACTGCATAAGTCAGAAGCTGTTTGAAATGAAGAAACTATAGAACCAGAGTGCAGACTACAATAGTATTTCAAAGTACAATTTAAACCAGACAATATTTTGTCTAACAGATTCCAGTTAAAAACATAAATCTCAAGATTTCACTTTCCATTACATGAATAGCAAATGCCTCTTTCAGTAAGAAACAGCCAATAGATTAAGGATTCCATATTAAAAGCCCCTCATTTAGGCACAAGTATGCTAAATTTAACATATTTCTGACCTGCTTAGGAACTCGCTCTTTCCTCCGTTGTCAGCCAACCCAGCACAGCTATTTTGCTGTCACTAGGTTCTTCCCTTATGCAGAAAGACTCTTCCCTTGTGGATAAAAAGTCACATATAAGCACTGGATACATGGCAGACATTCTTCCTCTCTCCCTAAAATGTGCTGAAAGTTCAATGCCAAATACTCAGCTTTGGTCCGTGGTCAAATTAAGCGGGAAATGCTTGGGCACTTAACCAGTGCTTCTCATGAATTGGTGCCTTCTTTGTTAGCCTAAGTATTTGCACCAATTTTGAAGAGTATAGGATACGCCTGTAATTTATTGATTGCTGTTAGCAGTTCTGAAACACACTGCAGCCCTGAAATAAACATTGCTGGACAAGCAGTACTACTTAGTGATGGACAACATCTTATTTTTGCACCTATGTTTCGTGATTACAAACCTAACCTTTCCATTCCTTTACTTTCACAGACTTTATGTCTTCAAACAACTTCTCATTTTCATCTTTCGTGCTACAGGGGCATCTTTTAATGAGCCCAGTATTGTGATATCAGCTAGCAGAATTAAAAGATACTAGCAGCTCACTTCTACATGTTCAGTTTTGTATTGTTTCCTTAACAATAGGAAAAATTTAAATGTTCTATATTCTCAAGCATCAGGAATAAATCAAAAGAGCACATTTGTCCTGATCATGCCATCATTAAAAGTAATAGCAAAAGCTCCTACATAGTTCATTGTGATAATTCATACTCAGGTATAAATTAACTTATCTCCATTGATTTCAGCAGAGTTGTGCTGATTTCACTACAGGGCATTATAAAATATGCTTGATGGTAACAGTCAAACTTTATAGTTATGGGCAAAACTTCTTTGGTATCTATATGAATATTCCACATCAGAGTAGATGGAATGGAACTGAATGAGAATATCAGAAAGTAGGAAGGCTGTTGTGCAGGGCAGTTTTGTGAGCCTTGGGCTGGGGCCTGGAAGACAATTCAGTTTGTTAGATGACATTAGTCAGTCCTTTAGAGCTTGTTTCTGTCTCTGTTATATAAAACCTGTGGAATGAAAATGACAGTGATGTGTGTGCAAATTTTAAATCTAAGGATTACATGTTCTGTAGAGCAAAGCTAGATATTATTGCCAAGAAAATAAATGCCTATTCAATTACTCAAAAATATTCTCTGTATTCCTAGAATTCGTGGAAAGAACATGGAAAGAGCAATATTCTTTCCAATTCTTATTTTTCAAAAGAGCGTTTTTTTATGTGACTCACATATTTATTTGACTTCGGTGTGGTTTTTTTTTTCCTTACTGCCTGAAGGGATAAAGTAAAATAAAATAATGTATGCATGCACAGTGACACAGTGAGGGAATAGATTAGACTTTTTTTTCCATAACCCACTGCTATTTAAATGAGATAATATGATCTAAACAGAGCACCAGAGGCAAGAAGGGTAATGAAGATAAACTCAGAGATCATTATTTTAAATTCTGTGTATTTGCTATAAGGACATATGACAGCCGTCCCTTTACACTCTTGTTGAAATTTAAACACTGCTTGATATTAATATGTTAAGAAAGAACTCCCAGTTTCTGGATTAGAGATTCAGACAGAATTTTGAGAAGCTGATTCAAACAGAAAAGTGGCCAGAGACTTCAAGAAAGAATTTTTTCATCAAAACAAAACTGGTTCCAAGTCTTTCTCTCATAGCCACTTCTGGCTTTTCCTCTGCACTCTACCGTTATTGTGCAAGCCCAGCTGACAGCAGTATCAAAACAAGTCACTGAACCCAGCCACTGAGTTTTCCTGCTTCAATCTTTCACAAACAGTTTTATTCAAAACTCTTTACCATTTGCAAACAGGAAAAGAGCTGCTTTCTAATTGTTTCTGAATTTTCTGTCTTCCTCTTGGACCATTTATCCTGATTTTCTCCACGTCCTTCTCATGCCCAGTGGCTGTCATAGTCTTTCTGTTACCTGGTTCCCATGAACTTCTGTCTTGGGCTTAGCTTTTCAACTGTCCTTTACTGTGATGGTCTCAACTTAGGTCAGCAATAAATGTTCGTTTTCAGAGGTAAAGATGAGGAAAAAAGAGAGCATCATTAAAACTAAAAGGGGCTTAAAATTATCTACAGAAAAAAAATAATATTAAAATACAAGCTAGCTTGTCTTCATCTTGGAAATGTGTCTGTAACTATACTTTTACAATGTATTTTGGTTTAGTGAACCAAATTCAATTGAAGATGCAACGGCAACCTCCCAGGCTGTATTCTGGCCTAATATTTTGAAAGGGCTAAATTAGAGAGCGAAATTTCCTGATGTAAAGTGTCCTGCTACTCCTTTGGGTCACAGCATGATGAATATTGAATACCTCACCACACACTCTGCCTGCAGTCTCTTGCAGATTTATTGTTAGCATAACAGTACCTTTAGGAATGGAACAGCAGACCATATATTTTAAGACAAGTGACATCTCTGCTATTTCTAATAGCAAACTGTGGAGATGAACTGGTCCGGTCTGGAAATGCTAAGGTGTCTCTGAACATACAGCTGCATTTGGAGACCCACCAGTGAGTCAGAGAATAATAATAACTAAGCCTTCCTTGGACAAGATGGAGTATCTCATGACTTTGGGAAACAGGACTCTGAAAGCTGTATTTCTGGAAATGACCAAACACCTGGTAAGACACAACCACTGGTCATGCAATTACCTTCTCAGAAAACTGAAAAGTGATATTTAAAGAAAAGCTTTACTTACATCTTATGGAAATGTGCCGTGTGGTTCAGCTCATTTTCTGACACCACTAAGCAATAAATATAGTTTGGTAAAACAAAGCTAAGGAGAATACCTAATGCCTGTGAACATGCAGTAATCTAGATGGCAAAAGGGTGGCGAAGAGCCCCAGAAAGGTGAACAGACAATATCCCTATCATTTCCAAGACAACTAAGTTTTTAGGCTATTCACAAAATGCAGGAATAAGAAATGTGACTATATCTGGGGATGGATGGACTATGAAATGATTTAGTTACTCTGGTTCATGTTAATAAGCTTTACCCATTCTGTGTCTTTAGAAAGACATCATTAAGGTTTTACTAATTACACGACGGCTTCACTCTCATCATACCAGGCAGAGGAGGATGCACAGAGTGAGTGCACCGTTTTGACTGCGGAAGCTTAAGGAACATGCTAGCTCAGAGAGGTCCTTTCCTAATGGTACAAGCTGCTCCTCCAGCACGGTAACCTATGGCTCTGGCTAAAGCAG